GGCTCCCATGGCCTCAGGGAAGGAACAAACAGGAAAGGGAACCAGAACAGCAGGTCACAGGGCGGCGGCTCCGAGGGAACTAAGCTTGAACTGAATCGAGACCACGAACAAGACTCAGCAGATGCATCAGAGGTAACGGGGAGGGGGGAGGGGGCAGAGGCCTGGGGCCGAGGTCTGGCTCAGGCACCTGAGGTCGCAGGAGCACTTGGCCAGGAATCTTTTTTTATATATTTTTTATTGATTTTTTACAGAGAGGAAGGGATAGAGAGTTAGAAACATCGATGAGAGAGAAACATCGATCAGCTGCCTCCTGCACATCTCCCACTGGGGATGTGCCCGCAACCCAGGTACATGCCCTTGACAGGAATCGAACCTGGGACCCTTCAGTCTGCAGGCCGATGCTCTATCCACTGAGCTAAACCGGTTAGGGCATTGGCCAGGAATCTTAAGAGTTGAGGCGAGGGTCCTGGGGGGCGGCAGGGATGCCTGGTGGGCCTTGCAGCACCGGAGGGTCCTCGGGCTGCCTCACACGTGGGAGGGGGGAGAGGCTGGGCCCAGAGGGGGCGGAAGCCTGTGCACCCCTGGCTGGAGGTTAAGGGTGAGGCCCAAAGGGGGCTGGGACACGGCTGTCACACTGCGCCCTGGCCTCACCTCACAGCCTCTGCCCCTCTCCTGGTCCCTGCCCTGTCCTGTGCCATTTCTGCAGGGATGAGCTTTCTCCAAAGGCTCTGCAACCGAGGGGAGCGCCCGCCAGGCAAGGGGATGAGGGCTGAGCCTGCTGGCCGGGCAGGCCGTCTGCGGGCGCCTGCCGCCCTCTGGTGGAATTGTTCTAGAACCACATGCACTCGGGGAATGGAGCCGATCCCCAAACACACAGACAGCCTCGCTCACCCCACACAGCCTGCCTTCACTGTAACTCCAGGGACAGAGCACTGGTTCGCACCCAGGGCTGCCAGCTCCCAGGCCAGCCCCTCCCTCCCACAGTCCGCCCGCAGCGCCAGCACCCTGGCCTCCCACCCACCTCTTCTCCCTGGATCTCTTCTCACCTGACATTTGTCCTTTCGTCGTGGGTCTGCCTCCACAATCCTCCGCTCAGAGGGCAGGGCCGCCTCCCGGTCTGTTGGGCCTGTGACCTCAGCTCCTCTGAGAACACGGCTGGGCCCCCAGGAGAGGCTCAGGGTCCGGGTCCCGGGAAATACTTGGTTTGGGCCCAGCTGTACGGCCCCCGTCCTGAGCTCCATGAAGGTTCAGGCTGGACCTGGGGTCGCATGTGCCCTAGAGCAGGCCTCTTCCCTGGGCCTCGGGAGCTGGGCTTTGTGGGATGGCTCCGGGGTGAAGGCTGCTGGGGCACCCTGCCAGGGGGGCCCGCCCTGCAGGCCAGCAAGTTCCGTTCCCCCCTTCCCAGACCGCCCCTCCCTGACCCCACCTCTCTCAGCCAGGACTGGGGAACACGTCACCCTCCCGGTGGCCCTCAGGGTGTAGAAACCTGCTCCTCGCACGCTTCCGCTCTCACTGAAAAACCTAACGAACCACAGAACCAGAGTCAGAAGCATCGGACAGACTGTCCAACCTATGAGGGAAGGCGGGGCTGAGGGGGTAAGAAATCAACCAGAGGACTTGTATGCAAGCTTATGAGCAGGACCCATGGACACAGACGGGGGTGGGACAGCCGGGGAGAGGTCAATGGGGGGAAAAGGAGACTTCTGTAGTATTTTAAACAATCAAGAATTTAAAATATTAAAAAACAAAAAACATCATGAACCCTAGAAGCTGCCTCCTCTGTGTGCAAATGATGACAAGGCCACCTGCCCAGCCACGCGCAGGAAAGGACCGACTGGGGCAACCTGGACCCCCTGCTCGGCCCGCCCAGCATCCCCGCCCCGCGGGCCACCAGGGCGCATGTGGTCAGCGAGAACTAAACTTCGTAAACGACCGTTCGCTCTTCATTCACGAAAGAAACAAAAAGGGGGGGGGGGGAGGAAGACCTCTGGAATACCCCAACAATAAAGATTTATTTTTTTTAAAAAAATGATTAAAAACCAACAAACAAAAAGAGACCATGTGTGAACCCTCCATGGGCCGCTGGCCCTGAGTAGCTGATTCTTCTTCTGTCTCGGAGGTGAGAAGCCCAGGTCACGGGCTGGTCCACGCTCCCACACACAGCCAGGCCACACGGCCACGGAGGGCAGGGGCCGCCAGAGCCCAGGGTTCTGCAGGGGAGAGGGCTGGTCCAGGGCCTCAGTTAGGACCGGCCG